GCTGTAACAGTTGTCCTCAAAAAGTTACAAACAAAGGATGTGAAAAAATTGGCTTGTTCCTGTTAATAATACTAAATGGAAGAATCGGTGGACCTTCACGAGGAAGCAGGTAAAGAAAACGTGCCGGGTCCCGTGCTAATGTTATTGCGAGTGTTTATTCCCTGGTAGAGAGAGGCAAAATTTACCTTCAGAAATAAGGTGTAAAAATCCGCAGCGTCCCCTCGGTAGTTACAATTAAACGAGCCAATCAAATTGGTTTGCGTGTTTGAAAAAATATCAACCAATCAACGCCCGAGGGTCAGATCCTGACCCTGTCGTCTGCATTACTTTCTTGATACATCAAGAAATGCTGAAGAAAGAAAGCTTACCTCTGGAAATGTAAGAAATGCTGTAGGTGATGGACAAACAGCTGCACTCCTCACCGTTGTGGCTAATTACAACAACGGTTTTGCCGCAAGAAAAGCACTATAGGGAACATCAGCCACAGTAAATTGTGAAATTCCTCTTAACAGATACTCATTTTTTGAAGCATTAGAGGATAAATTACTTCCAAACACAAAAATTGAGTTAAATCTTGAAATTGAAAAAGATACCATTCTTATTTGGCAAGCAGGAGCAGATTGCAGAGTTATTATAACAAGACTTCAACTTTTTGTCCCAAGGTTATCCTTCAACTCAGAAGGACAAACGTTGTATATGGAAAATTATTTTAAACCTTATAAATGGACTTATTTAAATGAAATAGTTGAAAGAGGCAACAATTCAAGACAAAGAACTGGTCATTTCCGAATTACAAATGCTATTTCAAAACCGCGTCATGTTTTTGTCTTTATAACTAACACAGCAAATATTGAGTCACAAACAGCAAATCCATTTCAGCGTATCAACCGATCCAAGAACATTGGATAGATGCTATCTGCTAGTTGGAAATGGAAATGAATATCCCGATATTCACCACAAACCATCCTTGGATTTCTCAAGAGTTTACACAGATGTAATGTCATACGTTTACGCAAACAACGATTTCCAAGGTGGAACACTTCTAAACAGAGCAAATTTTGAAATTTTTTTTCCCATTTGTTTATTTTGACTTAACAAAGCAAAAAATGGACATTAAAGACGGAGTTACAAAACTAGCTTTTCATTACGAACTATCAGGGAATACAGCTGCGGATTGCAATGTTTACGCATTGGTTCTTCACGAAAGAGAAGCAGAATTAGAACAATAAGGTGGAAAACTTTTGCTACTAGCGTAATTTTAAATAGCTATCGAAATAATAAAAAAAAAATGACTAAATATTCTGAAGATATAGCTTTTCTAACAAAATAACAAATAAAAAATTTTATAGTAAGTGAACGTTCAAAAAAAGAAATTGTATTGGTTTTAGATTTTAAACCTCCGTATGAACACGAAGTTTTTATTCTTTTGCTTACAGAATCTCAAATCAAAGGAGTAAGAGAAGCAGAAAAAAGAAAAGAACCAATTGAATTAAGAATTTCCGAAACACAGATGAAAAGAACTCGTAAAGAAGTATTAACAATTAATGGTTTGGAGGAAAAACTGGAAAAAGTAAAATAAATAAATAAATAAATTATATTAAATATCTCGTTTTTTTAAGAGAAAAAAAAAACAAATGAATTTGAGACAAATGTACGTTTAAAAAAACAAACTGTAATTGTTTTTTATTTGAAATATTTAGATGAAGAAAAGGATGAAGATAGGGATGAAGATCACTCCCAAAATTTACTCTTTTTCCTACAGAATCTCAACTTCGAAAAATAAAAAACGCACAAAAAACCCATCGAAAAATTGATTTAAAGTGCCCATCACCTAAAATTTATATTTTCTTATCTGAAACTATACCTCATTTAAATAACTTCTGCGAAAAAATTTTGCGGTGTGAACAAAACGCGATTTTTTTACCAATCTTTGAAGTCTACATTTTTGCGGTACACCCGCGCCGCTGATCATGCAAACTAGCAGGCTCACATATGACGTCATGTGACGTAAAATAAGGAACTCGCATTACCCGGCGGTACAAAAAAAAGATAAATTACAAGTAAGGATTGAATCACAATGTCTTCGCAAGAAGAGAGTTCTTCTGAAAAAGAAAAACCTACCAGAACTCTTAATGTTTTCCTGTCGATAAGGTCACGTGTTCCTTCAAGTACGTCATATGACGCCATACTCCGGGAGAATACTAAGACGAATGGTGTGCAAAAAATGGCGGCAAATTTCAGCGTTTTTAAAAAATTATAAAAAACATCGTCTTTGGTTCAAATGGCAAAATTTTTTCGCAGAAGTTATTTTAATAAGGTGTAGTTTCAGATAAGAAAATAATGAATTTTAGGTGATGGGCACTTTAAAAATTAGCAAAACACAAATGACTAATACTCATGAAAAAGTTAAACTGGCCAACGATTTGCTAAAGAAAGATTTAGAAAAAAGCAAAAGAAAAAAAAAACTTTGAAACTTGGAGATTTAACTTTTTAGATGAAAATAAAGATCAAAATACAAGAAGCAATAAATAATAAAAATTCATCTGTTTCTTTAGAATTAATATGGTGAAATAAGAGGAGACGGAAACCTGTTAACAAAAATACAATATGAATTACTAGAGAGGTTACCTTCTGAATTAGATCCGAAAACATTAAATTCCAATCTTGAAGAGCCCGCAGTGAATTTAACCTTTTCATTTAAACAAATTAATCCCAATCATTGAACCAAATTATAAACTAATAGATTTACTTAATAATCCAAGAACAAGAAGGGCACTAAATTTATCATTGACGCCTGAAATGCAAAATCTTTTAGAAGGGATGTCGGAACAAAAATTAAATATTATCGAACATTTAATCATTAATCTTAATAATTCTAATGATAACGCTTTAACACTTTTTACGATAACAAAAGATCAAATTAGCTCTATTGTAAAAGGTTTAATAGCGATTTTCTCAGTTTTAGCTAAACCAATTTCTTTAGAAGAATTAAATAATTTAATCAATGATTTAAACCAATTTTTTTTGGAGAATCAAGAAAATTAATCAATATATTAATATCACTAGTAAAATAAAAAAATGACAACTTATTTTGAATGCAGAGTAAATTTGAAAGATAATCAAAACTCAAAATTAGCTTCTGCAATAAGAAATAAATCTCCTTTGACTTTGAGACTAAAACGTTCAAATCTCCGAGGAAGTGATGAATTAATGCTGACAAAAAGACCGATTGTTAAGATAAGAAAATCTCTTGCAAATGAAACAGGAACCGAAAATTATTCCCATCTTCTTCTGGGTGCAAAGGTACTACCTTTTGCAGTAAAAGGAATTTCAAAAGCTTTTCCAGCATTGGCAACTGGAGCTGTTTCTGCTTTGGGAGAACTTGGAATAAATAAAATATTTGAAAAAGGAATCTCAATTCCACAAAGATTCATCCCAATGTTGTCGCCTTTCATAAATGAGTTTACAAAGGCACAAATAGACCAAATTAACAAAGCCTATCAGAGCGATGGGAGATTGGTTATCAAACCAACAAGAAAACAAATTGAGGGAGGATTCTTGGGAACATTTGCTTCAATTGGAATTCCAATGACAATCAGTTTGGTGTCGAAGATGTTTGGTTCCGGACTTCAAGTTGATAGAGCACCATCAAGAAATACAAGAAATGTCTATGTGCCACGCCCGCCAACACAAACACATGGTAAAGGACACTTTCCGTATTTTCCGCCGCGTTTTTATGGAAGTTGGAAAAATCCAATTGGAATGGGGGTAAAAAAAAATCCTCAAAAAAGGGAAAAGGTCTTCTCTTAGGAAAAAACAGTCCGTTCAATCAGATTCCAATTATAGGCTCAATTTTGTAAACAAACCACTATCTAATTTTGATGTGTTTGATTGGGTAAAAAAAAACTTGGAATTAAGTATTTTAGAGACATCTTTAGCAGGGATGTCTTGCATGAAAAGATTGGAAAAGAGTGTGGAATAATCAATCTCGATTCAAGGAGCTGGAACACATTGGGTTTGTTATCGGAACCTGGAAAAAGATTTAGTTGAATACTTTGACCCGTTTGGTTTGATTATGCCCCACGAAATTTATCACTATCTTATCACTTGTGAAAAAAGATAAATACAAAACCAGCGGTTACTGGTGTTTGTATTATTTGAACGAAAGACAAAAAGGAAACGGCATTTTAGACGTAATTCATAATCAAAATTTTCATAAAGATAATAGTGATTTCACAAAGGAATATTTTTCCTCCGGCCAGTAATTAAACATTCGCACTTTGTAACAAATGAAAAATAAAACTATCTTTTTAATCTAAAAGATTGTTTTATTCTAAAATATTTTTTTTATTTTTCATCCTCTAAAACATTTCGCGCCTTGTAATAAATAAAAAATGAAAATAACCCGAATAATTTTATAACAACATCCACATTTTATTTTAAGATTTAAACTAAATTTCGCCATTATTTCCATCTTTCAACTGTTTAATTTCCTCTACACTCTCCAAAGCTTCAATAAATTCCAATTATCTTAAATAATCTTGCCTTTTTATCTTCTGGCAGCTGACGCCAACTGTAATACCCAATTCTGATTTTTTCCCATAATTGAGATTCGCCCACAAGTAAAATACGTGCGACATACTCATTTGTTTTTCTTTCAACTTCAAGCTCATGATTTATCTTAGTCAGAATTTCTTTCTAAAAATCTTTTAATGCTCTAACATCCATTTTTTCTCTCTATCTCCTTAAAAAACTTGGCTTCCATTTTGTTAAAGGATTAGATAATTTCCTTTTATAGCTTGTTTCAAAAAAGTTGCTTTTTCATTTATCTTAAAAAGTAATTCAAATATTCTTACAAGTCTTTTGTCATCTTGCAACAGTAAATGAGGGCAATACTCATACGAAACATTTAACAAATTACAAATCTTTTCAAGTTCGCCTCTTACAAAGTTTTCTCGAGAATTCATTTAATTGATAATAATATAACCCTTAAAATAAAAATGGCAGAAACTTATTGTATCGTAGATAAAAGAGAAACTCCTTCTGTTGATCCAAGTGGGTATCAGAGAGATAAAAGAGGCAGAATACAATTCTTTTGTAAATGCGCTGTCTGTGGAAATAAAAAAGTTAGATATGTAAAAAACAGCGGGCAAGTTGGAACTGGAAAAGGAAGAAAAACCAAACGAAAGTCAAAAAACTAATTAGCGCGTCTGAAGGGGCGGGCGTTTTTGATACTGTTGTTGGCACTGCAGTAGATGGATTTGCTGAGTATGGTTTACCTTGGATGGCAAAGAAAAGTGTTGAAATGGGAAGATATGGACCAAGCGCGTTAATGAGGGATAAAAATCTTCACCAGAAAGCTGTAAAGTATGGAATAAATAAACTTACTCCTTTTATTCAAGATTCTGTTGGATCAGCAATGGATCAGTTATCAACAAAAGTAAGACCAAAAAAGAAATATAAAACTAACAGACCAGAGTTGGATGGTGGAAATATAGTTGACGATATATCAAAAAAAATAAATGATGACACCAAAGATATGCAAAAATACAAACTTGATCAAGCCACTTATGCATGAATGAATCCTTTATTGCTATACTCTTGGTTTGTCAAATATACTTCAAGAAGGCGGTCTTAATCCGTTAACAGCAGTTCAAAAAGCATATGAGTGGGTCGCAAAGCCAGCTATTAACAAATCTGTTGAAGCTGATCAAAAATATAGTCGATTCAAAAAAGACAGAGAACCACATTACAAAAATGCTTACAACACAGTTAAACCGTTGGGATATGATAAAAGTTGTTTGACATTTGTTTTAAGTTTAAATAATAAACCCCTTCCAAATCTTGGGGGAGGAAAAATAGGGCGCCGGAAGCCAATTTCTTATGGACGGGTAGGTGGTAAAGTCGATATTCATAATGCCATTCTGAAAGTGGCTCCGAAAAAAGGCTTTGTGCTGCCTGGGCATAACTATACTAGACCTGGTAACCCACTCGATTCTCAATTGAAATATGATCCTCAAACAGGCCAGGTATTGGAAATCTATGAACAACCAACTGGAAAAACTGATGTCAGTATGCAACACGATGTTGATTATAGTGTCTATGGAAATAAACCAAAAAGTGAACAAGTAAAATGTAAAAATGAAGCTGATAGAAAGATGATTAAAACACTGGATGCAATTCGACGGAAAGAAAGACAATGGTGTCATGCTATGGCTAGATCAATGATAAAAACAAAACAAAAACTTGGTCTTGTTCTGCAGACAAAAAACGTAAAACGGTGTTGAGTAGTGATTGGTCTCAACAATTAGCCGATGAACTTCATAAACCAATCACAAGAAACTTTTCAAAGAGGTCAGTAATCTCAAACGGGATTGATGAAATCTGGGCTGCTGATTTGGTTGAAATGCAAAAGTTTAGTAAGTGGAACAAAGGTATAAAGTATCTGCTGATGGTCATTGATGTATTTAGCAAGTATGGATGGATAAAGCCTCTGAAAGACAAGAAAACTGAAACTGTCAGTAAAGCATTTGATGAAATATTTAAAAAGAGTAAACGTTTGCCAAAGATGCTATGGACTGATGAAGGTCCTGAGTTTATCAGTAAACATTTCAAAGCGTTTTTTAAAGAGTAAACGCGTCAGGTTATATCACACTGAAAATGAAGAGAAATCAAGCATCGTTGAGAGATGGAATAAAACAATGAAAAACAGAATGTGGAAGATGTTTACTGTGAATAACAACACTGTTTACTGAGATAAGATCGATGAATTAGTCGATGATTATAATAACTCAAGACATTCGAGAAAATGAAGCCTGTTGAAGCAAGTAAAAAGAAAAATGAGGAAAACGTTTTTGCTAATTTATACGGCGATTTGATTTACTTAAAACCGAAAAAACCAAAGTTTGTGATTGGTGATAAAGTTCGTATTTCAAAATATGAGGCAAATATTTGATAAAGGTTACACACCAAACTGGACGGAGGAAATTTTCACAATTGATAAAGTTTTACCAACAAAACCTGTTACTTATAAAATTGTTGACTTAATGGGAGAAACGATTGAGGGCTCTTTTTTGGAGCAAGAGTTACAAAGGGCAAAACAGCAAACATACAGAATTGAAAATATTTTAAGACGAGATAACAGGAAAAAGTTAGCTTTAGTGAAATGGAGCGGGTATCCTGATAAATTTAACTCATGGGTGAGTTTTAGTGATTTGGTTGATTTATAATACAAAATAATGTATTAAAGATAGTTTTATCTTCTTCAATACCAGAAACATCACAGATATTTCGGGTTTTAATTTCATCTTCCTCATCATCGCTTTCTTTGATTGTTAGTAATGCTTCTCTTGGGTTGAGTGGTGTAACGTAAACTTCACTAGCTTTGATTTGAAGGGAAATAACATTTTTTGAGAGATAAATACTCTCGAAAATGAGCGCCATTTTTACTTTGCAATACTGATAAAGATAATCAAAAGGGTTAACTTTGTCATTTCCTTTTGAGCGGAATAAACTCATTATCTTTTTAGTTTTATCTGAATAAATAAGTTTTTCATAAAGAACAGGAGCAGCTGTATCATCTTTCGTTTTCGTTGTTTTGCCTTTTTGCCAAAGAGGCAACCGAGCTAAGAAGCGAGGTTGACTCGGCGGCAGAATTATAACGCCGCGCAATGTAGGCAAAACCTCTCAAATTCTGAGTAACCCGCAAAAATTTGCATTTTTGACCATATTTGGGTGTAAGTAAGACCCCATATTTGAGTAGTGACGTCATGGTCTTGTATTTACAAGTCGTGGTTCAAGATTGGGTGATTCAGTGTGCAGCTGTTCGTTGTCTGTCCAAGAGGACCTAACTGGTGAGCAAGCTTTAATACGATTTCTAGTTTGAAAGGGCAATTAGTGCTCTGGTTTGCTTTATAAATTGTGTTTAAAGCAGCAGCTGATCAAGGAATAGGGTTTTACGCTCAAATTTTTGTCAGAACTAGCTTGTTCTTTGCAGCTTGATTTACATTGAGGTAGCGTGTTCGCTTCTCGACTCAGAACCAGGGTTTTCAGTGTTCTCTTTTCCTTTGTGAATTGAGCGGCAGTTGATCAAGGCATAGGGTTATATTCTCAAAACTTATATCAGAACCAGCATGTTCTTCGCAGGTCGATTTACATTGAGCCAGTCCTCACCTTCCGTGAGGAATGCAACGTATTTGCGGACCTTGTTTTTAGAATTTATTTGTGTCTTTCGAGAGATTTTGTCAACTAGCATGTTTTTTTGCTGCTCGATTTGCATTGAGACAGCCCAAAACTCCCACGAGGAATGCAACGACTTTGCGGACCTTTTGTTTTGAAGACTATCATTATCTCTTTCAAGAGACTCTTTGTCCTGTGACACTAGCTCATCAGATCTTTGCATTTTATTCAAATTTATATTTTATACCTCTACATTCCGCCCCATTCTTGCGCTTTTCACACATTTTACTTTTTAATTACAACAATTTTTTCTTATGTATATTACCACGCGAAATACTTTTCTTATCCCTGATGACGCTGTTGCTCGGAATTTAGTTATTATTTTTAATTTCAGCAGTCAAAGGCCTCATTTGAACTATATTTTTCTTTCTAACGTTTACAGCTTTGATACAATGGAATTTTCCATGAAACATAAGTGCTACCTTGCTCATATTACCAACAAAGCTTCAAGCCGTGTTGTTATTGTTTAATAAAAGTGAAAGCCTAGAATGTGCCAAAGTTGTTGTTTTGAAGTTGGGTGCCATCCTTTTCTATAGCGTAATCCATTTTAAACCTTTAAAATTATGCAAAAATATCGCGAAGATCTGAATAGGCACTTTCCACAAAAGATAAACGAATTCGCCTCGTTGGCACTTGCCGGAAGGTACCCCTAGTTTATCTGTGTATTCAATCTGTTTGTAGTAAAAGATATCAGAAAGATGTGAAGCCATTTATTCATTCCTTCAAAAAACATTTTTTCCCCAGGGTTTGTTCATCATCTTTTCCCCATAAACACTTGAACATCAATTCAACGATCAATTGACCAATTCAACTGATGCTTTAGTCAAACTATGGAAAACTTGTGTTTCTTTCGTTGCTATATTTATCGAGTAAATCTTTTTGTTTTTTGATAAATCAATCTTTTTCTGATGCGTTACCGTTTCTAGATTTTTTAGTTGATTCTCGGTTTTAATTTCGTTGATATGGTTTATTTCTAAGTCGTTTGGAATTTCACCTTTTATTGATTCCCAAACAAATCTATGAACATAATAAGCTTTAGGTTTGTTTAGAGTTTTGTCACATATGTTAATGTGAGTATAACCAGTTCTAGAATTTATTCCTGGTTTTAATTCTCTCTTGGTTTTAATGTTGATTGTTTCTCCTGATTTTGACGAGCACAATTTTGAAACATTGGATGAACATAGTACTTAGTTGTGATCTTTACGGTTTTCTTTGCGGGGCGTACAGTTTCCATATATATTAAATGATTGCAAATCTTTAAGTCATAATTAATTTCATTTTTTCCGAAAACAAATTATATTAGTAATTAAATATGATTTGGCACGTATTACACGATTGAATGGGTGAGAATGATTGAATGAATGAAAATGATTGAATGCGCGAGTGCGCGCAAATGATTGAATGAATGAGTGATTTTGGAAGAGAGTTTTTATAACTACTTTTGTGAATGAGCAAGACCGTCATTTGCAAACCATTTTTCTTTTAAAACTTGCGCCGTTATTATCATTAGCTAGGGAAAAGTGAACATTCCCGCCAAAAGTGAATATTCCCGCCAATCCAGCTTACGATGTTTATATATCTTAACTGGTGAGATATGCTAGAATTTGCACGTCCAAAGTTGACTTCATCAATAGACTCCGTGGTCTTTCATTACGACTTAGACAGCAAGGCTTTGAAACCAAGCTACTTCAGAAATCATTTAATAAATTCTTCAGTCGCCATGGTCTTATCGTCGAGAAGTATGGTGCAGCCCTGCGGG